AAACATCTGTGCTCAACAGAAGAAAGCTCAGTACTTTATTTTCTTTCATCTTTCTGAATTTAAAAACAAACATTTTGAAGTGAAGGACTTGTAATCTGCATTCCCAAGTATCAAATTGCTGCAGGTGTGTTTGCTAGTGCCCAGAAGGCAAGATCTGTTTGAACCAGGTTATTTTCTTTAAAGTTCATCTATAAACTTTACAGCTAAATAACTAAGACTGACTTGCTTAGGGACACGGTATTTGTTTAAATTTTTTATACTTGCAGCTTAATGCCCTGAAATATGTGATGAAAAGTGTTTGTTTCTGATCCCCTTCATTGAAAAAAAAAAAAATTGCCAAGGGATATTTTTTTCCCACATTAACTGAAACAAGAACAACTATTCTCTACGTAGACTCTGATACAGTTAGCCTGATTCAGCTGCTGGCACAGGAAAACTCTAATGGACGCACACCACTGTCAAAAACTCCTGCGGACAAAAATGATGAGAGGCGTTCGCTGGTGAAGTCAGGGTGGGATAAGCTCGGAGGAAAAGCAATGTATCTTTGGGTGACTCCCCACTTGCCTAATGAGTCTGTGCAGCAAAGGTGCAACTTGTCAGAACAAAGCCAGGCTGGCGCGGCGCTGCCTCGAAGAGGGTTACGGCAAAGTTAAGGAGTTGAAAGCGAGAGATAATGTTTCAGACAGCGAAGTTAGTCATCCTCACATCCAGTTAAATCCTCACTCGCTGCTGAGCCGTCTTCGTTAACCATGTGTGCGTCACGCCTGCACCGCAGCGAGGCGCCCCGGCCGGCGGGTTATGCTTCCACCTCCCCTAAACACCCCAAGTGACTGGTTTTGCTCAGGTCTAATTTATACGCCGCCCTTTACGCAGCCGATGAACTGCGGCTGTGTTACACAGCCAGCATTTATATTTGGGAGCGGGGTTGTGAAAGGGACATTGTGCTCAGAAGGACTGCTGTCTGCCGCGGTCGGCCGCGCCGTGCCCCGTCCTACTGAGACCTCAAAAGCAGAGCACAGCTGCAATGAGTTTCCAGATCTGTTTGGCCGTGGGGAGCGGCGCTGGTATGCGTGCGAGCCGGGGGAGCATCCCCCCAGTTTCTGCCTGGGGGGCTGGCAGCAGCCTCCGAGCAGCAAATTTACAGGGGCGGGCGGCTGGGGCCAAATTAGTTGTGGTTTCGGAGGGCTTTCCAGACCTTCGCTAGGCTGTAGCGCGCAGCCCCATGAGGAAGGATATCAGTT